CTTGCTTTGGTCTTTTGAGACAGTCTCACTATGAAGTTCAGGTTGGTCGTGAACTGACTTTGCAGGTCAGGCTGGCATCAAAACTTGTAGCAATCCTCCTGCCTCAGGCTGAGATTTCAGGAATGTGCCACTATACCCAGCCTTGATCTCTTAATGACAGCCCTTCTCACTGGGATGAGACTGAATCTCAATGTAGTTCTGATTTGAATTTTCCACACAAATATACAGAACATTTTTTTTCTGTGCCAGTATACCCACAATGTCACAGTTCAGAGTTCATGGCCTGAGTCATTTGCAGATTTTTCCCTAGAACTTTACTAATAATTGTTCATGGAAACCCCCACAATTTCATGGAAAACACAAATATCATGCACAGTAGTTTTTCTTGAAGGAGGCTTGCAAGTAGCCAATCCAGTGGTGTCACTCAGTTCTCCTTGTTGCTGATCGGCTGCTGTAAGAGATGCATCAGCATTCCCACACCGAACAGGTTGCAGGTTGCACAGCTGTGTGGCTCCCTCCAGTGCTGTTTCATTTTTAAAGTTCTAAGATCCCAGAGCCAACAGATAACCTGCATTTTCATAGGCTTTATTAATATAGTATTTTACTAAATTACATAATTTGAGGTGACATGGCATACTGAGGATTTAAACTATAGAAATTGGCATTTAGTCACTTTTCTGACCATATCTGAACTTTGCAGTTCTGTACAATCTGTGGATGCTCTAGGAATGTAACCCCTGAAATGTTCACTGTACTTATTAGCCATTTAGAGTGGGATTAGATGGAATCTCAACATTGTTTTGATTTTTAACTTAATGCTCACATGTACTTTTCAAGTTCATTATATATTGTTGGTATTAATCCTCATAATAAAGATTTTCTCCCATTCTGTAGGCTATTTCTCATTCCCTTTGTTGGGAAGAAGCTTAAATTTAATCCCATTTGTTGACTCTTGCTATGAACTCCTATGCTAGCGGGAGTCCTATTCAGGAACTCCCCACTAAAGCCAAGCACCTGTGGCCTCAAGTGTCGCTCTTTCAGAGGTTTTTGATCAAGTTCTTATTTTTTTAACAGGGTGAGATGATCAGTTTTTCTTCTACAAGTGATGTCCAGTTTTCCCAGCACCATTTGTTTAAAGAGGCTGTCTTCTCTACAACATACATTTCTGACTCCTTGTGCGGATTTGTTTCTACATCCTCTTAATTCTGTTCCACTGCTCTACATGTCCATTTTTGTCAGTACCATGCTGTTTTTGTTACTATGGCTTTGCAGTATAATTTTAAAAGGAATGTTGTGATTCCTCCAACCTTGTTCATTTTGCTTAGAATTGCCTTGGCTATTTGTTGGTCACATTCCCATATGCATGTTGGGATTATTTTTTCTAATTCTATAAAGAATGTCATCAGTTTACTGATTGAGATTGCACTGTATCTGTAGGTTGCTTTTGGTAATAATGACCATTTTGACTTTCTTAATTCTGCCACTGATGAGCATGAGGGGATTGAGAACACCTTTCAGTGTTCCAAAATTTTCGTTGTAGAGATTGTCCCCCTATTTTGTTAGGTTTATCCCTTGATATTTTATTTGAAGCCAGTTTCTCAGCTAGTCCATTTTTGGTGTAAAGACTGATCCTTTACTGATGTTTTGACAATTCATTGTATATCCTGCTACATTGCTGAATTCATCTATCGGCTCTAAGAGTAGATCTCTAGGGTATCAGTAAAAATATTTGACTTCTTTTTTCTCTTGCCTAATTGTTCCAGCTAGTTTCAAGAACTATACTGAATAAGTTGTGAGAGTGGACATCCTTGCCTTGTTCCTGAGCAGGTTTTTTGTTTTGTTTTGTTTTTTTTTTTTTTTTTGTATCACAGCTAGGGAAATAATGCCTAAGCTAAGAATTATACATATGCCTTTTTACTTTTATCAATTTTATACTTCTTAGCTCAAACATTTAGGTCTCTGATCTTTGAATTACTTTATATGGTATGTAGTAGTGTTCTGACAGCATTTATATGTGGCTATTCAATTGTCTGAACACCATTTATGGGAAAATATTTTCCAATTATCAAAAATTGCGTAAATGTAGAGGTTTATTACTGGGCTTAGTTATCCATATGTTTGTGATAACCTTTAATATTTGGATTGTGTACAGAAATACAACTGACTTTTGTACATTGATAGTAGGTCATGAATACCACTAACGCTAACTAAAATTTTGTGTGTATGTTTGGCCTCCTCACAATTTTCTATGTACACAGTTATGTTATTTGCAGCTCAAGATGGTGTGAGGTTTTCCTTTCCAATCTGCATGGCTTTTCTTTCTTTTTGCAAAATTGCCCTGGCTAACGCCACCAGGAAATAGAACTGGCATAATGGATATCTTATCTTTTGTCTTTTCTGTTTATATATGATGTTCACTGATGACCTTAACCAAATTAAGTTTTAAATTTTTGAAGATTTTTATTTATCTTGGAAAGCTTTTATATTTTGTTAAAAGAATTTTTTTTTTTTTTAATGTACTGATGTGATCACCTAGTTTCTGTTCTTAATTCTACAAAGGTGGGCATGTCATACTGGTGAGTTTTCCATTTTTAAGCCAACTTTGCATTCCTAGGGTAAACCCTGATTGGTTATGCTGCAGGGCCACAAAATGGATAAAAGAAATTGTCAACAAGTTAGACTTTAATAAATCAATATATTTTTGACACAATATGCCCCAAAGTTTTATACTTCTCCAAGTAAGTAAATACAGATAAAACAAGGCATAACTGTATCAGACCTGAAAGTAGTAGAGGTATATTAAGAATAGACGTTTTTTATCTCCTTCACCTTGTACTAAACTGTTCTGAGGGAATTTACTCAGAAAACTTAAGAGACCTTTGGATCCAAAGTGCATGCTTTTGTTTCTACCCTTCCTTTGGGTGGAAATTAGAAGGGTCACTCTGGCTGCCAGGTAATTTCCCTGTCTTCCCTCTAAAGAACGAGCATTGTTCTGAATTAACCTATTTGTGATATCATCCCCCAAGGGAGACGATTTATACGATGAAGTTCACCATTAACCAAGTAAGTTGTTTTAATTTCTGTGAAATTGAGATGCACCATTTTCATTCAAAGGTCAAAAAAGATTCCAGCTGATGGAAACAAAGATTTCCATGTTGAGTTCTTTGTTCATATCACTTATTAAAATAACAGTTATACCCATATGAGCCATATATATCTTTTAACAGCAATTAAAAACACCGTGTAGACTTAACACATAACAGCATAAGCAGTTACAGATGTGTTTTTCTGTTTAGCTGATACCAACGAGGATGTTAAGTTTATTTAGTAACATTATAAGGCAACAACTGATCCTCAGCAAGTCAGCAAACTAATGAAATAAACACATTCATACTTCCTTGGCCTGAAGTAGCCCCCTTGGTTTCCCTTAGTGAATCTTCCCATGTTTAATTTTATCTGCTAAGCTATGGAAACATGGCATGCAACAATCTTTTTCGTAGATCAAATATAAGAATTCCTTTGAAATGATAGTTCTTCACACTTTCCCTGAATGTGTAGTACTATGCTACGTACATTATTTTCTACAGAATTTAAACGTATTGGTTAGAGCTTGAAATGACTGAGAAAGTTATTCAGTGGTCACATAATTAGAACCACTTGATAGTTTGCCCCAAGTATCGCTTGGGCAGCATGTTTAGGTACTATGCCAATTACTGCCTGGGCAGTACAAAGCATGTCAATTCTTTTATTACATAAATCTGATAAAATTGTCGTTTTTATATTTCCCGTTACAAAAATTACCAAACTAAAAATACACAATTTTTGGTCATCTTATATTTAAATAATTGGAGTGAGGGCCAGGGATGTAGCTCAGCAGGACAATGCCTGCCACCTGACAAGTGCAAGGCCCTGAGTTTAATTCCTGGTACCAAAAAAAGAAAAAAGGGGGAAAAAAATCACCACCAAAAAAATTACATAATTGCAGTAAATGGTTAAAAGGGTAGGACCAAGCAGGTTTAATTTCAAACTGCCATGTAATTACTGCATGTAATTACTTGACCGTTTCTGCCATTAATACCATCTCCAGACCCTAAGTGCCATAAGACTAAATGAGCATCTTGTTTTGCAAAACATGAAAGGTTCATAATGCTGATCAGCAGTATTATTTGCAGAGAAATACCCAAAGGCAAAAAGGAAAACCATGATTACTGTTGAAATGTCTTGCTTCCCAAAGGAAAACTATCAAAAGGAGCAACCTGTATTTCATGTAGTTTTCCAACATGGTGCTTATGTCTAATAACCTACTTCAGATTAACCACAGGGACAAAACATAAGCTTGTATTAAGAAATTCACTGAGATACTATTATTCTCCACAACTCTGATTCTGTATGAACTGTAAACCCTGCAAAGCATCATCTGTTACAATACTGACATATTAGGTAGCCAGAAATTTTAAATACATGAAGGATAAAATATGGTTTCTACAAAGTCCAAATTAAAAGACTGCACTGTAAAGTGTCAACTTTGGAAGGTAAGAGCCAGCATACAGAACATGATGTTCAGCTTTAGCTGCAGCCCTGCTATCTGCATAGACCCAGTGAGTTTAGCACAGTTAGAGTAAGTCACAAAGCAGTTTTAGGAATGTTGTCTCCTTTGATGCACAATTACTAAGCTGAGGAATCAAACAGATCTGAGGGCCTCTTTTTTTAAGAAGCATTCTTCTCACCTGAGAAGTCTACTTAAAAAAACTAGGGCCCATCCTTACTGTTTAAGAAATACAAACTCAAAATGTGACAAAACTTTTTACATTTAATCATGTGAAAACTTTAGCTTCATTTACCACTAATCTCATCAAACCCTATTACTTCTGAGTCCTAAAATCCACAAGAGGTGCAATTAGATAATAAGCTAAATGATGAAAAAGCACCTTTATTATAGGTACAATGGTCTAATTCCCCTACAGACTACCACCTCAAGTCTCAGGAAGCTGGTCCCAATGGACAGTAAGTTACCAAAAACAACTAGCTAGAGAGAAAAACAGTGAAAGTATGCCATAAAGTATTAACCTTGTCTAACAGAAGCCTCCAATGAAACAAAAAGAAAAATATATCTAAAATGCAATAGCTTTCCATCCCCACTACCTCTCCTTCCTCTTCCACTCCAGAATGGCCATGGCGGCAACTCTGCTCTAAGGAAAGAACTTGGGTCATACAGTTTTCTGAACCAAAAGAACCTATGAAAACCCAGAGGAAAATTTGAACAAAGGAAACCTCAAAAGTGCAGCACAGCAATGACTCTCAATGATAAATTCAGTCACTAAGCTCAGGACCTGGCTCTACATTAGGGGCCAAGTTTTGTGACAGACACAAAGTAAACTACAGCAGCATCAGCAAACTTCTAGAGCTTTCAACAGAGAACTAGCTGGGACACATAGGAAAGAGGTTCTACACCACTGCTCTAGGGCTGCCTGAACAAGTATTGTTTACCTATAAGGGCCTCCATGGTTCAGTACTGCTTCTGTAGTCCACAAAGCAATCACTTTCCACTGAACTAAAAGCTGTATCTCAAGGGGAGTCCTACCCTAGCAATATATATATATTTTTTTTACCCACCATCTACTGACACAACAAATGATCTTGGGCTTTAATTGGAAATAATTTCCTCAGTAGTGGTCTGACAGTACATCAGTCATGGTGAACCTATGTCATGTGTGCCACAGCTGACTGGCAATTGTTATTGAAAGCTCTAAAAGGTTTGCTATCACTGACCTATATCTTTGTTCATCTGAGAGAGACAGCTATTAAAGTGGTTTATTGGCTTTTATCCTTAAGGTAACACAAAATGACATATACCATGGTGTGTAGTGGCAGTACCCACATGTGCTTCAGTGCCAAAAAATTCACATTTTCAAGCGTCAGAAAGGCCGTGCCTCACTATTTGACATTTCAACCCAAAGAGTGCTTGACCCTAAAGGGCATTAACCTAAAAAGCTCTGAACATATGACTTAAATAACAAATATCTATATAACATGGGATAAAACTGTCACATGGAGTATCCTCTGGACATGTACTTTAAGAGCTCATCCACAAGATTAAAACACAAAGAGACTGTAGGTGCACACCCAGGCAAAGGGAAATACCCAATCTGGGAACTTCTCCTTCAGAGCATCCAGGTGGGAGGATCTGCTGTCTTCTCCAGAATGATAGTGGGCAGCAACAGCCACAGTGACCATTCCTCCTTCAGGCTGTTCTCCTGAAACCTGCTGGAGAAAACCAGTTTTCTGAAGCCAGGACACCAAAACTGAGGTTCTGGCTAAATACCATGTAGTAGATTGTCCAGTGAAACAAGAACTGCTGGGAAAAGCATACCTGCACTTCTATCCAGAACCGCCAGACAGAGGCCTGGAGGCCATGAGAATAAAATACAAAATAGTCTTCCCCTTTGCATGAGACTGGGGTCCCATTGCCAAGAGACCACTGAGAAAGTGTGGATCCTTTGTGAGCGCGAACATAGAATGACATATGGCTCGGTCCTATAAGATGAGGAAAAACAGTTACATAAATCTTCTTTTAAGAAGCATCAACAAGGGCCAGGGAGATGGCTCAGTAGAATACATGCTTGCCTGGCAAGCACAGGGTCTTGAGTTCAATCCCAGGTTCCACAAAAAGAAAGAAGCATCAACAAGAAAAGCATTTAATCAGTGCCCAAACTATACTATGAAGGCTAGTGCCTTTAAGTACTCCAAACACATTTACCAGTTTAGGCATTCAGTGTGTATCAAAACGGTTAAATAATGGTGTACAGAAGAAAAGGTACAGAATCTAAAAAAACTTGTGTTAAATGTTGGTACTGTTAGCTGCTACACTAGGCATTCATGTAATAAGTTTGAATCAATTTTTTCATCTGTGAAGTAGTTTTTTGAGGGAATTATATTAGAAAAAAAGTTATTGGGAAGATTGCAGAGTGCTATAAATGTACTGAATAGGATTATGAAGAGAATTACAGTTATCAGACAACATTTGATACATAACACCTTAAGATATTCTTTTTTTTTTTTTTTTTTTTGTATTTTACGGAAGGGTCTACAGGGTGTTCAGGGTCTCACTACTAAATTGGACTCATAGTGATCTACCTGTTCACAGCCTCCCAAGAGCTGGGATTACAGGTATGCGCCACCACGCCTGGTTTCAGTGGCACACACCTGTAATCCCAGCACTTAGGAGGCTGTAAACAGGAGAATCACTATGAGTCCGATCTAGTAGTAAGACCCTGAACACCCGTAGACCCTCCGCTAAAATACAAAAAAAGAAGAAAAGGCAGACTAAATTTTTCTATTACAGTTTTCCAGAAGTCCCCCCAAAACCTGCATAGCTCCTGGTCCCCATCAGTGGACTAATCTGAGGAGTTTACAGCAATGTGTGATGAGGTGCAGGGATGACTCGGGCATGACCTAGGACACTACCGCCATCCTCCCTTGCTCTTAGGTTTCTATTGTGATCTTTCTCTGCTTGCTGCTGCCATGCCTCCTTGCCTTCGAGCCAGCTAACTGTAAACTGAAGCTGCTACAAACTCGGCTAAAGTAAACCTCTTCTTTAAGCTATGGGTGTTGGGCACTGTGTCTCAGTGATGAGAAAGTAACTAAGATGATGTCCACAGCAAAATAAACTCAAATGACAAATCATGAAAAGCTAAAAAGATGTTTAAAAAAAAAAAAAAAAAAGGCAAGTGCTTGCCCGGCAAGCACAAGGTCCCCAGTTCAATCCCTGGCACCACACACACACAAAAAAAAACTGCTGTAGAAAAAGAAAAGGCAAATGAAAAAGGTGACTGCCAAGTTGTTGGGTATGGTAGCACATGCCTGTAATCCCAGCACTCAAGAGACTGAGGCAGGAGGATCACTGAGTTCTAGGCCACCTTGGACGACATAGTCCTGGTCTCAAAAAAAAAAAAAAGGCAAGTCAGAAAGAACCCGTAGTTAATTTGTATCCCTAAATTAAGGAAAAGTTTGTGGACACAGCTCTGTGGAATGGTTCTGGGTTCAGTCTCCAGTATCAAAAAAAAAAAAAAAAAAGTAAAAGGTCAAATAGAGGATTACAATAAATATGAACCTCTGCAAACTATCTTGTATGTGCTTCAATTAAGACAGGAGAGGTGGGGCCGGGGAGATAGTTTGGAGGCACACACCTGTAATCCCAGCACTGGGGAGGCTGAGACCGGAGGATCACTACAAGTCTGAGCTGCATAGGCGGACCCTGTACCAAATAAACTAGTACTGTATTTTTCTAGGAAAATACATACTACCAAAACTTAACATTTTTCCAAAAAATACAGATTACCAAAACTAATACATAGTTTAGCCTGACCAATTTTCCTGGATGTTCACTGAATAGTTAAGCTAATTTTTCAACCAAATAATTCCAGTGCTCCATAATTTTTTTATTTCTTTTTTCTTTTTTCTTCTTTTTTTTTTTTTTTTTTTTTTTTTGCGGAACCGGGG